GGGAGGGGATTGGGAGGGACTGGGATGTACTGGAAAGTGCTCGGGGGGGACTGGGATGTACTGGGAGGGCACTGGGAAGGACTGGGGACAGACTAGGATGGATTGGGTGGGACTGGGAAATATTGAGGGGGACTGGGGGGGGATTTGGAGTGACTGGGATATACTGGGAGAGGAGTGGGAGGGACTGGGATGTAACTGGGAAAGTATTGGGAGGAACTGGGGAGGATTGGAAGGAACTGGGATTTACTGGGATATACTGGGAGGGGACTGTGGGGAGCTGGGATGTGACTGGGAGGGGATTGGGAGGGACTGGGAAATACTGGGATGGATTGGGAGGTAACTGGGAAGAACTGGGATAAACTGGGAAGTAACTGGAAGAGACTGGGAAGGCTTAATTAACCCTGGCGGAGCCTTAATTAGTGCAGGGGGGGATGTGATTGAAGGAGGTGCTAATTATCCTCATTAATAATTCATAGTATTTGGTGTCATTAATTACTCCATTAATTAATCCCTTTAATCAGCTTGTTAATTAGCTCTTGATTTTGTTTTTTCATTATGCTTTTCTTAGGGGTGAGATTAATTTCTTTTAGAGGCTATTAATTAATCTGTGAGCCTCATTAATCACGTCTATGGGGTCTTCAAGGCTCCTGATGGCTCTTAACTAATTAATCGGTTGCTAATTACCCTAATTAATACCTTTTTTCACCCTCCCTAACCCCTTTTGCTAATTTTTTCTAGGCTAAGGGCTATCAATTAATCCTAGAGCTTCATTAGTAACTTCTGTGGGTTCTTCAGGGCTCCTAATGCCTCTTAACTAATTAATAAGCTCCTAATTAGTCTAATTAATACCATTTTTCCTTTGTTCTCCAATCTTTTGATTGTGATATCTTACCTGTAGATGGTGATTGGTTTTTCCTATGTGTAATTAATCAACGCTAAGGGGTAATTAGTGATTTTTAGGGGGTGATGGGGGATGGAGGAACTAATTAACGTGTGTTAATGACCTTAATTAGCATGGCAGAAGACGTCAAGGCCAAACTGGCTCGTTACAAAACGGCTCCGTTCGACAGTCGCTTCCCCAACCAGAACCAAACCAAGAACTGTTGGCAGAACTACCTGGGTACACCTGGGCACCCCAAAAAATTGGAGTTTACCCCAAAAAATTGGAGTTTACCCCAAAAAAATTGGAATTTACCCCCAAAAAATTGGGTTTTCCCAAAATAATTGGGTTTTCCCCCAAAAATTGGGTGTCCCATCCCCTCCCATAGAGATCCATGGGTAGACCTGTTGACCATTTCACCTGTGTCCACTCCCTGTCCACTCTGTCCACTCCTGGGTGACCCCACTGACCACTGGGTGACCCCTTAGACCCCATTTCACCCCCAAAAAATTGGGGGACCCCAAAAAAATTGGGTTTTCCCCTAAAAAAATTGGGTTTTCCCCAAAAAATTGGGTGTTCATCCCCTCCCATAGAGATCCATGGGTAGACCTGTTGACCATTTCACCTGTGTCCACTCCCTGTCCACTCTGTCCACTCCTGGGTGACCCCCCTGACCCCTGGGTGACCCCCCTGACCCCTGGGTGACCCCACTGACCACTGGGTGCCCCCGGGTAACCCCACTGACCCCTGGGTGACCCCTGACCCCTGGGTGCCCCCACT